GAGAGAGAGAGAGAGAGAGAGAAAGAGACAAACATCCATGTGACAGAGACACATCGATTGGTTGCCTCCCACACACTCCCCGACTGGGGGTGGGGATCGGATCTGCAACCCAGGTACGTGCCCTTGCCTGGGAATCGAACTGTGACCCTCCGGTGTGCAGGCCGACACTCTAACCACTGAGCAACACTGGCCAGGGCTATTATGGCTTTTTAAAAGCATATGTGGGGGCATAGGGATGAGAAAAGAATAAGTAAAACGTAAAAGTAGTTTAGTTAGGACAGTTGAATCCTGGGTAATTAAAACTACAAAAAATTTGAAAAACAAGAAAAAAGATAGATGAAAGATTCCAATGTGTTCTAGTTAACATTATTAATTCAATAGTTTTTACAGTTTCGGTAGAACCTGTAAGGTGATTTAATACACATATGACTTTGAGAGCCATATTACTCAGTTTTACCTAACTGCACATAAGGTGGTCAGGATGTATTTCTGTTTTTGTTCCATTTTGTTTTGAATCTTGAAAGAAATGAGGAGCAAAGGACAAGAGAAAGTGAAGACCACTTGATGGCTGCCCAAGGGGCAGAAATGCACCTGCAATGGAAACTGACAGTGGGGCCTGTGAAGATGAAGAGCAGGAGCAATACTGACCATCTGACCAGTGCTACTCAGGGAACAGAATGTCACCTACCTCAGCATTTCTCTTCAGTTCCTCAGCTTCAGCTTCTGTGTACTCCATATCCAAAACATCCTCATTCCCAGAGTCCTCATCAGAACCCAATGAATCCAGAAACGAGTTGTTAAACTCTGAAGAACACAAAGACAGAGTTTTGTAAAATTTCTTGGAATAGACATAAAGAGATGATTAGGAAGGGGAAAAAACAACAGCTTGAGTACACATTTTATCATCCTACGAAAACAACACACATTATTATTAGGGTTCCCATTTACCCAGCCCACCCCGGGGACCAACAATTCAAGTACCAGGTATCTGGAAAAGAACTGCTCCTTTTCCTTTTAAATATATTTATATGAAAGGAATGTAACTCACATAAGAAATAAAAGTGAAGAGGAGAGTATAATTTTAAAGATAATCCAATTTTATTAAACTCGATATTATATAAACCATTCTGAAGTACACGGTGCATATTGTAGGCAACACCAGCAAAAATAAATTATCTCACAGAAAAGAGACTATAAAAAGGTCAATATCCTTTCATTCCCTTTAATATTAAATAATCTTTTTTTAAAAACATATCTTTATTGATTTCAGAGAGAGGAAAGGGGGGGAGAGATAGAAACATCAATGATGAGAGAGTCATTGATCGACTGCCCAGCCCGCAACCCAGGCATGTGCCCTGACAGGGAATCGAACCCCGATCTCCTGGATCCTAGGTCGATGCTCAACCACTGAGCCACGCCCAGCCGGGCTTAAATAATTTTTTTGAAATTTAACAAAACTAAAGAAAATTCAACCTTTAACTCTTAAATTTCACACAAAATACATTATACAAACAAATCCAAGATCCATTTTTTTTCTTTAATAATGTGTTTCGACTGGAAGAATCATCTTTATAATGGCTTTAAATTATCACAGGAGCATTTGTACATAAATGGCTCTTTGCTTTAAAATATAGTTAATTCCAATAAAATCACAGTATAGAGTTGTTTAAAGGAAATGAACATCTAAGAATGGGAAGAACAGGAAAAAATACTATGGCCTCAAAATTCTGAATTTGAAAGTAGATGGGTGACAGACTTAGCAGATCCGAGAAAGCCAAAGCCAAATCCTAAGCCAGTAATAGAAAAAAATTGAGAACCAATCCAATTTACATCAACGAATCTTCAAAAGACATACAACTTGGAAATACCAGGTACCTCTGAAACCGGAGGCTAAGCAGGGGATAAAAATAAGGATTAGGTGAAAGTTATTTGAGAAGCAGACTCCTAGAATCCACTCTGCCCCTTGCCATGCTGCTAGGATAAATACAGTCTAGAGCTTTCTTCCGTGGAGAGGGTACAACGGTCTCTGGATTGGGGGTGCCAGGCACGGGGACGGCCATGCACACCATACTGAAAGCAGGAGTAAATGACAGCCTGCACAGTGAAGAAGATGCACACATATCCTCCACCGCAGTCCTAATCCTGTACTTGGCTTTCAGAACTCTGGCAGCCACATCTTTTACCTCCAGGCAAAGGCAAGAGATTAGAAAACCCTTCTTTAGGAATCTGACCAGCCCAAAAGAAAGGATAAAATATTAACCTCATCCCCCAAACAGTCCCACCCTATAAACTCAAAAGTTGACTAGCCCAGCTATGCATGTGTTCAGTGTCCAATCATCTTTTAGTCCCCTGTTCTTAACCATGAGCTGACAGTCAAGGATTACTAGACACCTGAGGAAAGCCTCTAACAAGAAATATAAAGACCATAATAAACAGAGGACAGAGCAATCTGGAGGAGAAAGAAGCTATTCAACGATAGTAAACTTGAAATAAACAAATGAACTATATTTAATATCCTCAGAGAACTGAGATGGTATTATTTCCGTGAACAAACCAAGCCAAAACAAACAAAAATATAAAAAAGGAACATTCACAAAACAAAGCAGTTTTTTAAAATTAGGAATATAGAAATAAAACATTCAAAAGTAGTTTCGGAGTTGGAGATAAGGTTGGAAAAAATTCTCACAGAGTAAAATGACAAAAAGATGAAAAACTGAAGAGATACGAAAATTTAAAGGACTATACTAGGAAGTCTGGATAATAGGAAGAGAAAGAGAAGAAGGGAGGAAATCTGTGAAAATTCCTTAGAATTCAAGGACATGTTTCTAGATTAAAATGATTCATCAAGTGCCCTGCAAAGCAGATGAAACAGATCCACATCAATGCATATCACTGTGAAACTTCATCACAGCAAAAACAAAGAGAAGATCCTCCTAGCTTTCAGAAAAAAAAGAGGTCACACCAGGATAAAAAACGAACAGCTTTAGACTTTTCATACAGCAACCCTGAAACAAGACTTTTCCCATTGCCCAGCAGCATGAAATTGGCAGGAAACAAAGCTTTCACAATGACTGCAAATCTGGAATTCTATAGCTAGACAGACTATTAATAAAATACTAGAGCAGAATAAAACTTGCACAGTTTCAAAAAAATCTAAGTCAAATCCCATCTTTTGGAAGAAAACTATTAGGGGTGGTCTCTACCAAAGTACAAGTAGACCAAGAATGAAGAAGAGTGAGAGGAGGAAATGAGGAATTCTAATAGAGGAAAGAATCAGAGGGAATTCCGAAGAGAATGATTAGGGAGCTCTTAGATGGCTGTGCATGGTGAAGAGGGGGCAACCAGTCCAGACTGGAGCAAAAGGACTTGACACAGCCATCATCACCACCATAGTACCATCTGCTTCCTGCACGCCCCCTACTAGGGATCCAGCCCGCAACCCAGGCATGTGCCCTGACCAGGAATCAAACCTCGATCTACTGGATCATAGGTTGATGCTCAACTGCTGAGCCATGCTGGTCAGGTGATAGTACCATCTTTTTAATCTGAGGACAGAATGCCTGGGTGAGCTTAGCTTGAATTCTTATTTGTAGTTGTCTCAACCATGTCTCAAATTCTTGCTCTTTCCTCCCTGTCATGGTATCTAGACCAGCCTAGAACACTCATTTTATATCATCAAAATATTCTGCTTTGATCTATTTCTGAAAGTTGGAGGAAGACCACAATAATCTTATAAACAGAAAATAAAGAGTTAGCTCACTTCCTGTGATTACATGTCCCTGTGGATTTGCAGCGCCTGGTTCATAGATTAATTCTGCCAAATTCCATGACTATGATGAACCTTATGCTTCTGAATACTCACTCATAACTGCCCACTGACTTCCCCAGAGTGAGCTCTTGTAAATTCACAGGGTAACTGAAGCCACCTTATCTTTTCCCAGGAGTCTTAACAGTGGAAGTATGGCTCTTTCGTCTAGATGGGTTACAGACAGATTGTCCCTGCTATTTAACTTAATTTTTTCAAAACTGTAAAGAAATATATTATTTAGGGGTATGGATAAATACTACTTTTTTTTAAAAAAGCAAGCTACTAATGAATACAAACATTAGAATAGTGGCTCCCCTCCCTCCTGGGAGCACCTCCATGCCTTTCCCTCCTCTTCCCACCAGGTGCTTTACTATTAGCTTCCTCACTCCCAAGCTCCAAGGGTCCTCCCTTTGCCTCTATAACTTGTTTCCTAAACCCATTTCTTCTAGGAATTACTTCTTCCACCTTTGTAATTCAACCAAATAAATGTTCTCTTACAAAAAAAAAAAAAAAAAGAATAGTGGCTCCCTCTGGGAGGGAAGAGGAGGGAAGGGGCATCTAGGTAACTTCTAAGGTTCTATTTCTTTACCTGGGAGGTGTTCAAATTTGTTGTTGTTACTAAAAACAAACATTTTACATGCTCTTCTCTATATGATACATTTCACCATTAAAAAAAAATTAAAATAATCTGCACACCTTGAAGGCTTAACTCTGTAGCTCTTTTGAGGTCGTCATCTTCTTTCTGTTCCCAAGCCTCCTAAAGGGACAAGAACGAAACTCAGGTACTTAAACAGGTATTGATTAAACTTACTTAGTGATGATAAAATCAGTTCCTCTAGAAATAGTTGCTAATATGTTCCATAATTTTGTGGATGCTTGGAATATGACCTACTGAAGGATGTGGAAAAGTTCTTTACTTTTTCCTACAATGTCCTCCTAAAACACAACCTTGGGGGTTAAAAGAAAGGCTTAAATGCCATCTCTTCTAGTCAGTGACATTTGGCTTGCAACCAAAAGCCATTCAATGTGACATTAAATTCCCTTTCTTCTTCCATGTATGAAATACCTGGCATATATAGCAGATACCTTGCAAACTGCTCTCTTTTCTCTCCTCTGATTTACAGTATTTACTAATATCCATGGTATAAGTGCTCCCACAGTGGCCAATTTAAGCTACCAACAAGACACTGAATGTAGTGTTGGAAAGAAGTATGTATGGCCAATCTTTTTTTTTCCTGATCTTCACCTAGGACATTTTCTCCATCAATTTCTAAACAGTGGAAGAGACAGAGGAGAGGTGGGGGGAGAAGAGACAGAGTGAGAGAAAGAAACATCTATGTGAGAGACACACCCTACTGATTGCCTCCCTCACAGGACCACACCAGCTTGGACCAGGGTGAGGAACCTGCAACCAAGGTATATGCGCTTGACCAGGAATCAAACCTGAGATTTTTTTTTTTTTTTAATTTTTAAACATATCTTTATTGATTTCAGAGAGAGGAAAGGAGGGGGAGAGAGAGATAGATAGAAACATCAACGATGAGAGAGTCATTGATTGGCTGCCTAGCCCACAACCCGGGCATGTGCCCTGACCGGGAATTGAACCCTGATCTCCTGGATCCTAGGTCGATGCTCACCCGCTGAGCCACACCCAGCCGGGCAAACCTGAGATTCTTGAGTCCAAGGGTCAACGCTCTAACCACTGAGGCAAACCGGCTAGGGCTGTATGGCCAATCTTAAGTAACCAAAATGTGCTGAATGCAGAGTTGGAAAGAGGTGTGTATAGTTGGCTTTCCTGAGCTGACAGTGAGCTGTGATTCTAGTATACCACTGACCTGAAGTCTATGACAGCAGGAAACAATATTTCCACAAGATATTACTCACAGATTTCTACTTTTGTTCTTGCTGAAGAAACCAAGACACATTAGATACTTGGTAAATACTAATGAATGCTATTGACTGTTACTTTTCTAATACATCTGAGGTTCTCTTAGAAAAATTAGTACCTCTGAAAATGTCTCAACTAGAGGAATAATTACAAAAATAGAAAAATGTTTACGATAAAAATTTCCCTCATCTTCGCATAAAAGATAACTTATAAACAATACATGAATAAAGAAAAAAATATAATTTAAGCAGAATTATTTTATACTTTCCTCAATTCTGGACTTGTTTTTAAAGTTACTAAAGTATATGAGAAACTTAGAATGAGCTATTCTGCATAGTACTGGGAGCAATAAATACTGTGTTTAAGAAAGCAATAGATATTCTCTAAGAGGAAATAAGATTACTAAAATTATCCAAGTATATAAAGTCTATGCTGAAACCAAAAAGAGAGTCTTCTAGTTATTAATAGAATATACAGGCATACCAACTAAAGAAACTTCATCTTATAATCCTAGCCTCACACCTGAGGAAAATACAGGGTTGGGCAAAAGTAGGCTTACAGTTATAAGTTTGAGAAACACAGAGTTTATTCTTGTATTAGTATTTATTAATTATTGTATTATTTTCCATATGAACAACTGTAAACATCTTTTGCCCCACCCTGTAAGTTAGTTTTAACTGGGTCAGCTGACAGGAAATACTACCAGGTACTAGTCTTAAGAAATCAGACCTCACCCTGGCCGGGTGGCTCACTCAGTTGCAGCATCGTATCATACACCAAAAGGTTGCAGGTTTGATGCCTGGTCATGGCACATATGGGAGGTAACAGATTGATGTTTCTCTTTCATGCTGATGCTTCTCTCTCTCTCCCCCTTCTTCTCTCTCTCTAAAAAAAAAAAATCAATAAACGTATGCTTGAGTGAAGATAAAAAAAGAGAAAGAAATCAGGCCTTGGTCTTTTACATTAAAACTAAGTTTTCTAAAACAAATGATCACTACACATTACTTGTAAAGTAGTTGGGCATATATATATTTTGATGACAAGGTAGCTAGGGAGGTACTTCTTAAATGGTTTTAAAGTAGCAGTTTTCAACCTTGGCTGCACAATAGAATCAAGGGATGAAGTTAAAAAAAATCCTAATTATTAAAAAAAAATAAGAAAACTAAGAAATCTAGATGCCCAGATCACAGCCCAGATCAATTACATCAGAATTTTTGAGAGGCAGAACAAGCCAGGCATCAGTATTCTTTAAAACTCCCAGGTAATATTAATATGCAGTTAAGCTTGAGGCCCACTGTTTTAGAGAAATTAGATTTCTTACCTGATTGTTTATAAACACTAAAACTGTGCATTCATTCTAGGGGGTCTTGGTAAATTTTTATTACTAACATGACTTGGATTGCCTAGGATTATACAAGCATGAAAACATCACGTTTTAGTCAAATACCTTGATGACTGCAACAGTGCAAATCAGCCAGCTTTAGCAAATAACAAACATAAAGAACTAAAAATTAAAGAACAGATTACTACATAAAGAAAAGAGCAGATAAATGTTAACTATATGGCTAAAATCTAAATTTTGGATAACATTCCTAAGAATTTTATATTCAAATAATTCATAGGAAAGGACTCATATTGTGAGAAAATGACCAAAACAAATACTTTGCCTTAAAATATCAATGATAAAACCATGGTATTATACTAGTTGTTTCTACAGCTTGCAAAATAAGGTTGGACTAGGATAATCTCTAATAACCCATTTTGCTTTAGCATGCAATGAATTATTGTAATGGGTGGTAACCAACAAGATATTTTGTTGCATTTGAATTTTCAAAAACAGAAAGACTATCAGTGTTTCTGTTTCAAACCCAATGCAAAGCCCCAAAGAAGTTCTTATTTTGTTTTGGTGGATCAATGACACTGTATTCAAATCACCTGGAACAATGCCTGACACATAGTAAGTGCTTAACACATATTAGTTATTATTATTACTATTCTATTTCTTGGGAAAGGTAGGGATGGAGAAAGTAGCAATATAAATCTCTTACTTGCTCCTGGAGGCTCTGAGCCAACGCCTGTTGAAGCTCTTGTTCTTCCCTTTCACGGTCCATATCATACTGCTGAAGCCAATCAACCTCTCCTTGAGATCCTTCTGGGGTTTTGTTTTCTTTATTCTCGTCACAGTCTTTAGTTATCTCAGTAAATCTGGCTGGATCTGAGAAAACAGAACATAACATAACTGGGAAATCCTCTCTAATAAACTGAAGTCTCTGGACTTAGAGTGACATCTACTGTTCAGAGAGTAATTTACCCCAATCTCATACACAGTTCGCTTGGGACATACAATTTCATCTTACTACATGTAGACTAGGATTTCTCAATCTCAGAACTATTGATATTTTAGGGGGGAGGGGAAAATTTTTTCATAGTTTTGGGGGCTGTCCCATACATTGTAGAATGTTTAGCAACATTCCTGGTCTCTATTAACTAGATGCCAGTACCACCTTCCCTCTCTAGTTGTGTCAACCAAAAATAGCTAATGAGATTTCCTCATTTATTACAATGTATGTTAAATGAGTGTTTTTGCATTAATAATCAAGTAAGCCTTGTACATATTCTGAATCAAGAATTCTATAGCACTGGTGGTACGGCTCAATTGGCTGACCGTCGTCCCATGCACCCAGAGGTTGCCAGTATGATTCCTAGTGAGGGCACATGCCCAGGTTGTGGGCTCGATCCCTGGTGAGGGCATGCAGAAGGCAGCCAATTGATGTTTCTCTCTCTCCTCTTCTCCTTTCCTCTCTAAAAAACTGAATAAAAACATATTAAAAAAAAAGTATATATATGTAATATGTAATAAACACCACATGTACCACACAAGTATATGACAATGTATGTTTCGAACATTTGTCCAAGGAGATGAGAAAAAATTAATCATCAATTTCTTTTTGTTCGTTCTCAGTCTCTAGACTATGGCTAGCTGGGATAAACAGTACGGTCATGATTTTGTTCTGGTTATTTGAATTGTGAGTGCAACAACATTATCATTTTTTTTTAAAATGAGGCTTTTATTTATTTTTAATTGATTTTAGAGAGGGAGGAAGGGAAGGAGAGGGAGAGAGGGAGGGGGGTGAAAGAGAGATATAAACATCAATGTGAGAGAGACACAGTGGCTGCCTGACCCCCGCATGTGCCCTCACTGGGGAGCAAACCTGCAACCTAGGTATGTGCCCTGACTGGAAACTGAGCCCTTGAGCTTCTGGTGCATGGGACATTGCTCCAACCAACTGAGCCACACTGGCCAGGGCTCATTACAATTTTTAATACTGGCAAGTATTAAAGTTATGTGGGGAGAAGAGGACTTTATCTACCTACCTATCTACCTAATCTCAAACACTTTACCAAAGCAAAAATTTTCAGCTTAGCAAGTTAAGAAAATTCTTGTGTTAAAAAAAATAAAAATTTAACTGATCAACAATATTACCTTTACAGGTTCATTTTATATAGTTTTAAAGTCAGTACATGCTCTTTACCTGCCCCCAAACTGCATTTTAAGCATTTAAATGATAGATACTTTTCTACAGCACAGACAACTCTGAAGCTTACAGCATCTTGGTTTTAGACTCTTTAATCAGCAAATAGTCATCATTTTTTAACTGTATTGAATAGCTGACTAAATATTTACTACTAAAACTAACTCAATATTCCTTAAAAGAGGACAAGAAACTCAGGATATATTAAATACAGAAAGCAGTACGATCCCAATTTAAAAAAATTATACTAGAGATGAGATGGCAATGCTTTCTTCCTGTCCTCCATTCTGGGAGAAATGATCATTTCCATGGCCAGAAAGAGGCAGCTCTGAAGCCTACATGACTCTGCCCATCCCTCTGGCCTTAGCTTACTGGACCAGGAATAAATATTTGAGTCAACCAATCAGATTACTTCTAGAAATTTGGAACTGAGACATTCAAAGTTAGATGATGTTGAGCATTTCAAGGGGAACATAGATTTGGGAGTTGAGGCTTCTATTTTAAGGCATAAGATGAGTATTACTACTTTTATTATCAAGTCATATAAAAAAGGCGACGGGTACAATTTTTCTTAACCAATAACTTTCAGCGTTCAATGTACTAATGTATCTCACACAATCCAGGAATTATACTACCAATTAATCCATGTGATAGCAAACAAATCAAGAAAGTTCACACTGAGATGCTAAAATTAATATATATTTGTCTTTAGGACATATTACCAGATGAATACAAAAACTACTTAAGATCTATGGGAACAAATGTGACCATAAAATATACTTAAAAATTCCCCACCTGAGGATATTTTTTCCATTGCTTTTCAGAAAGAGAGGGGAAGAGGATAAGGGAGAGAGAGAGAGAAAGAGAAACATCATTGTGAGACAGAAATCAATTGGTTGCCTCCTGGAGCACAGGCCCCAACCTGGCTGGGGATGGAGCCTGCAACCGAGGTACATGCCCTTGGTCGGAATCGAACCTGGGACTCTTCAGTCCACGGGCCGACATTCTAACCACTAAGCAAAACTGGCTGGGGCACGAAAAACACTTTTAAGGAATTTGCACAATGGATTAAAAGGGAACTACGTGCTAAACCTCAACATTCTCATACTAAATATTTCATCTGCCTCTGCCCCCACCCCAACTAAAATCTGCTCCTTTACTACATTCTGTATTTCAGTGAATGGGATCACTGTCCACACAGATGTTGTTTTTAGACAGAAACCTAGGAGTCATTTTTGACTTCTCATTTACCCCTCGTATCAGATAAACATTCTTTCCTGTCTCTTGAATCCATCAACTTTTTCTTTTTAATGCCAAAACTTTGACTTAGGGAATCATTGACTTTTGGTCTGGACTACTGCAATAACTTACTAACAGGTCTCAAGATTACTTCGGTTCTTCTCTAATTTATAAGCTATGCTGCAGCCAGCATGATCTTTTTCAAATACAATTCTTTATCAAATACTTGTTTGCTTAAAATTATTCAATAACTTCCTAAGCCTTTTGAAATAAAAATCCAAACTCCTAAACATGGCTTTAAGCCATGTAAAAACTGGTGACTACATAACTCTCTAGTCTTATCTCCTGCTTTTCCCCCTTGACACTATGCTCCAGTTATATAGCTCACTTTGAACTTTTTTTTCTGTCCATTAACTTGCCACGATCTTTCTCATATCTGGGCCTCTGCACACATTCTTCCCTCTGGCTAGTGTTTGGAGACAGTAAAACCTTACTTAGCCAGTATTCAGTTGATTCATGAGCCAGCCAATCTCTTCGGTCTCAAATATTTATTGGGAATCTACTATGTGCCAGGTACCGTTGTAGAAGTCAGGGATATAGTGATAATTAAGGCAAGAGGGCCCTTGCGTCCAAGGAGCTTCAGTGCAAAGGCTCTCAAATGAGAATGAGCTTATCAGCATATTTGAGGGACAGAGTGTGTCAGTATGGCTAAAACAGTAGAGTGAAAGGGAAGAAAGTGAGATAGCCTATGTAAAAAACTTGGGTTAAGTGTAATGGGAAGTCACAATAAGTTTTTGTTGTTTTTTAAAATATTTTATTTATTGACTTCAGAGAGAGGAAGGGAGAAGGAGAGAGAGAAACATCAATGAGAGAGAGTCACTGATTGGCTGCTTCCTGCATGCCCCCTGTTGGAGATGGAGCCTGCAACCTGGGCATGTGCCCTGACTGGGAATCGAACCTTGATCTCCTGGATCATAGGTTGATGCTCAACCACTGAGCTAAGCCGGCTGGACCACAATAAGTTTTAAGCAGAAAAGTGACAGTGTGGTTTATGCTTCAGAAAGATTACTTTAGCTTCTTTGTTCATGAAAGAAGGTCTGTAGGGGGTAAGAGTGGAGGAAAACACATTAGGAGTCAGTTATGGTGGCCCAGGTGAGAGATGGAAGACTAGAGTTGTAGCTATGAAGATGCTAATAAATGGCTGGGTTCAGAACATATTTTGTAGGTAAAGCTGATTGGACTTATTGATGGACTGAATGTGAGGTATAAAGTAAAACAAAAACTCAAGGGAGACATATTTTTTGGCCTGAGCAACCTGATTTATGGGAAGGCATATTTGGAAGACGGAGATAAAAATTAAATAGCCAAACGGACATTTCAAGTAGGCATTTCAACATATAAGTTTAAAGCTCAGGGGAGAGATCAAGGCTAGAAATATGAATTTGATATTTCATCAGTATGTGAGGCTGTGGTACCATATGAGATCACTTAAGGAGAGAGCTTAAGTAGAAAGGAAGACACAGCAAAGGACAGTGTCCTGGAATACTCCAACAGTTATAGTTCTGATGAAGAAAGCAAAACAAAAAGACAAACCTGAAATGAGCAGCTGGTTTAGTAGGAAGAAAAAATCTCCAACAAGCATGGTATGATGGAAGCTCACAGAAAAACATTTATAAAGTTTTAAATGTTAAGAAGGGAGTGTTAGATTGTGAAACACTGCTAATGTAAACTTGATAAACACCATTTTAGTGGAGTAGTGAGGATGAAAGCCCATTTGGAAAGGGTTGAGGAGAGAAGGGGAGGCGGTAAAAAAGTAGAGAGCATGAATTAAACAATTCGTTCAAAGAATTTTGCTGTGAAGGGAGAAAAGGAAGGGGGCAGTAGCTGAAGTATAGCTGAAAGGGGGCACATAACATCCTAAGAGGGTTTTTAAAAGATGGGTGAAACTAAGGCACAACAGAAATAACTTAGAAGAGAAGAAAGACATGATGCAGTAAAGAAAGAAGGTAATTTCAAGAGGGAAGGTCTTCAGAAGGCACAAGTGAATGAGATTCTAGATATGAATGGAGGGACTGGCCTTAAATAGGAACAGGGATGTTTCCTTCATAACACCAGTGAAGGCTGAGTTTTCATCTGATTGCATCTATTTTCTTTGAAAAGTATACCACTAAGTTATGAACCTAGAGTCTGTGTGAAAGGAAAACTGGAGACTAGAAGAAGAGATCATGAAGACTGTGAAAACTTACTAAGGAAGTATAACAAAACTAGTAGCATTTGGTGCCCATTTAATAAGAGTGTACTCATGAATTTGAGAAAAGTCTAGTCAGCACAGTTTTGTGATTTTCTCCAGCCATCTTTAGCTGCTTAGGTGCAGGCATAGAATAAGAAGCTAGTTGAGTTGGGAGTTGGGGTTTCATCAGGTGACTGTGAAGTAAGAAAAGAGAGAGAAGATAAAAGAGTATCACGATATGGCATATAACTGGGGAAGGACCTGATAATAAGAGTGAGGTGATGAAGAGCAAAAAAGTACAAGTCAAAGGACTGGAAGTCTTAATAAGATCAAGTAACTCTTGAAATAATATAACAATAGGAATCTGCAGGAGTCCTGGAACCAATCTCCCATGGACACTGAGAGACGACTAAACGCTAAAACTTGGTACAAGTTCAGATATAGAAAAATGAAGACTTATACACATTTCTGGGAGAGCAATGGTGAGAGAGAAGTGACCAAAAACTGATACAAACATTTATTAAATGCACGTAAGAACACTAACTTTTCTTTTGATGTACACTTAAAGGAATATGTCATATTTTACTGTTAGCCTCTAGGTACTACTCACATTTCTCATTTTTTAAAACTGTTATAAAAAGGCATCAAAATATTAACTCTGTTGTTATAGATTATATAGATCCAGCTCGCACCTCCCATTAATTAGAAGTCATTTGTCACCATAAAGCTTTGGAATACAGTTGTCTCCGTTAGCAGTTATGTTTATTAAACCTACCTGGCTCTGTGATTGCTTTGGGTTTCTCAGTTTCCATAGGTTCTGGATTTTCAGGCATTTCTTGAATATCATCCTCTGCAAATCCAGTATCTGGGCTGCTGGTTGGTTTATCATCATCTTCATGACTCAGAGATGGTGAAGCTTCTCTCTTACTTATCTCTAAAACAGCTGCCAGAAGCTCTTCTTCATTCATTCCATCAAATCCTGAGTTTTCTAATTCAGACTTATCAGGCTCTATTTTGCATGATTTTGAATCCTGAAGAAGAGTGTTACTTTTAGAGGAAACCTGAATATTTACAAATATAGCAATCTTAGAGTTTAAAGTGAGAAGTTTATTTTATTTCTAAAAAGTTTCCTTTCTGTGATGCTTTTGGTTATTTAATAATCAATAACCAGTATATAAACTCACTGACAAACCTAATATTCTTTTAATAATAAGTACGTAAGAATACATGTTTCTTGGTTACAGTAAGTGTTAAGTACATTCTTTGTAGAAATTTGGAAAATCCATAAAAATAACAAATTCATTCAAAATCCATCAGAGATAATACTGCATTTTCTTTCAGACATATGTGAATTATACTGTAAATATTCTGTCACTACATTTAATATTCCTTTTAAATGTTGGCAGGTCTTATTCTTTTTAAATAAATGAGTAAAATAAAAAAATACATTATATAAATATTCAGAAGTTATTTTCACTATGGGGAGAATTTCTGACTTTTTATGATTTCTCATTCAAGGTGATCAACCACAAACTACCTCTAGCTTTATTCTATTTTAGTTAATCCTCACCTGAGGATATTTTCTCCACTGATATTTTTTAAAGAAAGCAGAAGGGGAGGGAGGAGAGAGAGAAAGAGAGTAAGTGAGAGAGAGAGAAACATCAGGTGAGAGAGACATCAAGTGGCTGCCTCCTGAACGAGCCCTGACCAGGGCAGGGGATCCAGCCTGCAACAGAGGTACGTGCCCTTGACCTGCAATTGAACCTGAGACCCTTTAATCCATGGGCTGACACTCTAATTACTGAGCCAAACAGGCTAGAGCTACCTCTAGCTTTAAAGTAAGATGGGAAACAAGTTAGAACAAAAAATTACTAAAATATCTTACCAAAAGAGAGGTTTAAAATCAAACAGTTGCACAAGATGATACAAACTCCTAGAAAAGCTTGTATCTCCAAAGTATTAACAATCATTTTGTGTCAAGACAGAAGATAATGTAGCAGCTATGCCTTCACATACATTATTTAAACCTTTAGTTTATGTGGTTAGCTTGTTGATGTAAAACTTTTACTCTGGTTCCACCATATTAACAATTCGTACCAAAATAGACAAGTAATTATTTGAGGACCAATATGTAAAAGTAGCTTTGAAGGAAGCCCTGGCCGGGTAGCTCAGTTGGTTAGAGCACTGCCCCAATATGCCAAGGTTGTGGATTCAATGCCTGGTCAGGGCACATACAGGAATCAACCAATGAATGCATAGATAAGTGGAACAACAAATTGATGTTTCTCTCTCTTTCCCTACCTCTCTCTCTCTAAAAAATCAAGCAATAAAAATTACAAAAGAAAAGATGTAGTATGTATATTATTCAGCCATAAAAAAGGAAGAAAATCTTTAAATTTTCAAAAACACAGATGGACCTTGAGGGCATTATGCTAAGTGAAATAAGTCAGAGAAAGACAAATACCACATGGTCTCACTTATATGTGGAATCTAAAAAAACTAGCAAACAAAAAAAACCCTAAACTCACAGATATAGAGAAGATAGGTGACTGCTAGACAAGGGTGGTGTGTGTATAAAATGGGTGGTGGGTAGAAAGGCAAAAACTTCTAGTTATAAAATAAATAAGCCCTGGGATGTAATGTGCAACATGGTGACTACAGTTAATAACACTATATTGTATATTTGAAAGTTGTGAAGAGAGTAAATTTAAAAGTTGTCATCACATGAAAAAATTTCTTTTGGTAATTATGTATAGTGATGAGTGTTAAACAGACTTACTGTGGTAATCATTTCACAATATATACAAATATCAAATCCTTATGTTGTATACCTGAAACTAATGCAATATTATGTCCATTACACCTCAGTAGAAAAAAAAAGTCTCAATCCATCTTTAAACAGACTAGTTTTGTGGCTACAGAAAGCACACTCTAAAACTAGTGTTTGAGACTTTCGGTCAAGATGGTGGTATAGGTAAACGCGGTACTTGCATCCTCCCGCAACCACACTGAAATTACAACTAAGCTACAGAACCACCATCACTCAGAACCACCTGAAATCTGGCTGAATGAAAGTGCTACAACTAGGGAATTAAAGAAGATCGATAAGGGTGGGGACGTGGAATGGGCTGGTCCCACATCCATATGTGGCAGGTAAAAATTGGGGTGGATATCGCGGCTACAGAGGTCCCTCGAGGAGCGAGGGGTCCCAGTCCTACACCAGGCCCCCCAGCCCAGCATTCCAGTGCCAGGAAGAGAAGTCCCCACAACTTCTGACTATAAAAACCAGTGGAGATTGAGGCTGAGGGAGAAGGAAGCTGCTGAAGTCCCACGCAGTTCCTTTTAAAGGCCCAAATGTGGACTCAGACTCACTCTCGCTTGGCAGCAGCTTGAAAAACACCAGAGACATACGGGAGGGACTAAACTGGCTGGCATCAGGGCGGGAGCGAAGGGGGCAGCTTTCTCCCAGGCAGAAGTGCTGGCAGTGGCCATTGTTCCTTTGATGAGCCCTCCCCCCACGAAGCAGGCAGGCAGGCGCAACATCTGAGACTCCATCAACCAGGCTCACAGTTTGGCCCACCACCCTGGTGATTCCGAGACTCTGCCCTACCCAAACTGCTTCCAGTGGCTCTTCTATACGAATGGTCTGTCTTGGCTCATGCTTCAGACTGTCCTAAAATCTCTCAAACATGCAGCATCTGGCCTCAGAGTGCCCTGTACTTCTCACTAAGTGGCCCCAGATCCGGCACTAGCAGCAAAAATATGAACAAAGTGGCAATAAATACATACCTATCAAAAACTGAATATAAAATCAAAATAAACAAACAAGCAGAACAGAAAGACTCACAGATACAGAGAATACTTTGATGGTTGCCAGAAGGCAGGGAGGTTGAGGGGCTGGGTGAAAAAGGTGAAGGGATTGAGAAGTACAAATTGGCTGTTACAGAACAGAAATGGGGATGTAAAGTACAGCACAGGGAATACAGTCAATAATATTCTAATAACTATGTATGGTGTCAGATGGGTGCGAGATTTATTAGGATGATCACTTAGTAAGTTATGTAATGTCAAATCACTAGGGTATACATCTGAAACTAATATAATAATGTATGTCAACTGTAATTGAAAAGTAAAAAATTAAATAAAACTAGGGTTTGAACAGATCCACTAAGTTTATGATCTATCTTGTGTATTAAGTTTGCTGATGTTGGTGATAAAAGTAATTTGTTTGGACAGTAAGAGCTACACAAATCTTTGTCAGATAGTCTGATAACAAATCACTTACCTTTTCCAGGTCTTCCTGCTGTTGTTCACAGCCTGACACTTCACAAAGTCTCTGGCTAAGGGCCACAGAGCGTTTTAGTTCATCCTCACTGTCTGAATCAAGGCTCAAAGCCAATGAGCTCTTGGATTTGAAGGAGAAATTCCTGTAATTCAAGGGGAAATTAAAAACCTATGTAAGTTCGATAAATAAACATTGTCCTTGTTATTCTTTTGATACATAAATTCCAACATAAAACAAAAGGCTTTTCCTATATGGAAAATAATGTAACAGAAAAAAAGAGAGATAAGGTATACTTAAGCATTACCTTTGCCCCACTTCAAAAGAGTCATGCTTTGAAAATTAGCTCTTATATTATTATATATCATCAGTAAACCAATCACTCTGTGCCTTTTTCCTTGTAATGATCCGCCCCAAAGATGTTTGTTATTGTCTTTATAAAGCAAGTACAGTACTGAATGCATGCAGGCATAGCAATGAATAAATGTTTTGGACAACAGAGCATGAGAACTAACTTTTGATCTTTTAATTTATGATCCATGTACTTTAAAATTAACAGTAACATTCCACTTATCCACTTGTATGTAGGCTAGACTTCTGGCAACCTCTACCTTCCAAACAAAGGGATTCAAAAGTAAGAAAAAAGGCTTATGAGGAAGGCAGCAGTTTCAAAGCCCAAGTACTTTACTCTTTAGACAGGGGCCCTTCTTTCCCAGGAAATGATGTATAAAATGATGTAGCAAGTTCATCAAGAAATGAGAGCTAAGAAACGAAAGAGAATAACCACAAATAGGGCAATAAAGAACTATAATGTCATTTAATGTAAAGGTAAACCATCTTGTAGGATAATGCCATCTGAGGGCATTATCATATTAAAACAGTGCAGTAACTGATACTTGTAATATTGATTCTAAGTCATTACAATATATTCAAATTATCTTCAGTATAGTTTACTTAAGAATATAAGGAATTCTGTAAGGTTACAGAGTATATAACCACCTAAAATGGTTAAAAAAAAAATTAACATTAATGCTTAAAAAGGCAAGCTTCAGTTATATAAAAATTCATTTATGTGAAATATCAAATATTCTTCAATGATGCTAGATAAGTAAGGTGTTACTGTGTTGGCTTCCAAGTGAGCTGAAAATAAATTAAAGAAAAAAGTGGTAAAGGTCAAAGAGCACAAACTTTCTTTGATGGAGGTTAACATAAATTCATATGCTATACTAAAAAAAAAAAGTAAAATGGAAATCAGAAAAAAGGCAATCTAAATGTGAAAACTATACATAAACATATAGAATGATGGTACCAAGAAATAAGAGGCCACAATGGAAACCAGGAGAACTGCATAGCAATGTAGATCAAAGAAAAGAGGCAAGTGGTCAGTGATAAGCCCAAACATAGTCTGTGGCTGAGAGCAGCCAAGATATCACTGCACTCCAGCCTGAACACTTGAATAGCCTCCCATTATGTCTTCAAAAGGGTTTTAAAGTATAACTTAGAAATAGCCAATTAACCATCTTAATTTCTCATTTCTGATTTCATGCTCACCAAGCAAAACTGAACATATTAATTTATCCACGTGAATACTTTGCTGAATGAGGGTGACACCTGGCTACCAATATACCAGGGTCAAATGTGATGACAAAGGACACTGTAGAAGAACCAATGGTATTCTGGTTCATAACTCAGCCTCTTTTAAGTTTGATCGGCATGACAGGTCTTCTAGGGCCTAATCATCCTTTATTGACCAACTCTCAAATCCTCACATCAATAGACCCTGGAGAACAGATGACCATGCCAAGTATAATGATGCTCAATAAAACCATCTCTTTCTTGAAACTACAGTGATCTGGTACATAAAGAGTGCATTCCATTAATAGTTACTATATTCACAGAAGGCAGCTTGCCTGTAGTAATGAAAAATATTCATCCTGTAAATGCATCACTTGCTCACTTTCTAAGCAGCCAAGTGGTATTGCTCATTTGTATCTTGAGAACGGGCAAGAGTATTCATATCGGTACCATTTCAGATTTCTAGTCATGTTAGTCATCTGGTTTTAATTGCACTGAAAAATAATTAACAGGAGGGAAAGAAAATAGCAATTCCCAAATGTCATTTTATGGTTATATAAGCCCCCCCAAAGCCCTTAAACAACAAAAGTGTCTCTTTTCTAAAGGTATGTTGGGACATCAAATTTTTAGAAAAACTAATTTTAAAGACCAATGACAAGCAAGTCATTTAGAATTGCCTAATCAAGAACTATGGTTCTAATTTAATCACAGAGGAGGTATATTAAAAAAAAAAGTAATTGCTTCCCTTCTTGGACAAACTTTTGGTCTTAAGCAAAAAAATAAAATAAAATAAAACATTTGTAAAATAGCTACATTCTATGTGTGTGTTTGTTTTTCTGTCTACTTTCAGAATAGCTTCAGTTCAGTGTCTAAGACAAGATGTCCCAGATATTTTGGGATCTCCATGTGTATCTTTGAGGAATGGTGCTTTACACCAACAAGGGTTATTTCAGCCCTTAAATCCTTAAAATTCCTCATCATCAATTTCTAGAAAAGTAGGTTGAAAATATTACATGGTAACAGATGATTTAAGAAGTTTTAGAACAAAATTTTGAGAGGATCATCTGAAATTGCTTCACTGTTAAAAACTTGTTATATCCCAGATTATAGTTTAAAGCAGATTTAGGAAAATTCCAAAGTATAGAAATACCGAGCAGTTATCATGCAAAAAGAGAAACAATAAAGAAAAGGGGAGGGGATAATCTTGGGAATTAGGGTAAGCCAAATCCTTAAAAATACAAATTTTGGGTACACAAGAAATATAACTCACTTTGAAGGTGTAGAAGGGCTGGTGATGCAGGAATTCACCATTTGAGAGGCTTTCAATGGTCTAGAACTATCAGAAAATTAGAAAATATATAATGTATACAATTACATTATAATAAATATATATTTAACTTATAAAATGAATTATTTTGTACTATAGATCCTTATATATCCTCTTGAAAAGCAAACAATTATACTACTTTTACTAGCAATAGAGGCCAAAAGAGAAAACAAAATACTATCTCTGGTCTCTCCTCGATCCAATGACCTAAATACACAGCATTGGAAACAAAGTCAAATATAAATGAAGTCACATGTAACACATATGAAAAGAACTTGGGAAAAATTATCTTGTCTTAGTTCTTTACTGTTAAGCAATAAGATAGTAATAGCTCTCATTTTTTGAGGACTTACTAGATGTCAGGGACTGTAGTAAGAATGAGTGTATTTCACATCATTTAATGTTCACAACCACCTTATTGTTTTCCCTACACATAGGTCAAGGAGTTTGTCCAAAGTCTTTAATTTATATTGCAGAGTCAGATAGCCTGGTTTCAGGCCTGTGATCATTCATAAAGAGCCTACACTGATAGTTTGAAATAGTACTACTGCCAGAAAGAGTAACAACTCTACCAGCAGAGGGCAGCTGCATTAAGCAAAAAAACAAAACACAAAAACAAAAAATAACCCCCCCTCCAAAAAACCCCCACATCTATTCCAAAGAAAGGCCACAAGACAAAATCCAGAAACACTAAGAGTGTCTGGGAACATGTCTTTATTAGTAGACCTGCTAAGGCCTTTAATATCAACTTATATGATCTAGTATACATTTCAATTATTAACCCAAGGAGAAATACATTTTTACAAAACTGTATCAATTCACATTAGCAAATATTCATTCACTTTCTCAAATGTCTATTATTCCACTTTAGCCAAGAAACCTGGCTCTTCCAGTTACTAACCATGCCTTTAAGAAAATTAATCTCCTTGGGTCTCCTCTGTAAAATTAAATATTTAGACAAAATCTCTAAAATCCTTTTCACTTTTAAAGTTTTAAACTTTATGACAAAATCTCTAAAATCCTTTTCACTTCTAGTTTTAAACTAGAGTTCGAGTATAAAAATGAACAACAATATATGGCTCCAAAGTAATACAAGTATGCAGAAGAAAGAGCAATATTCAGAGAAGTCCTAAGGTTTCCCAGCATATATGATGAAGCAAAATCAAAATTAAAGGTTACTTCTTTTCTCATGTAAAAATTTCTAGGAGCCATTGAAGTTCTTTACTCCCACTGATAACAATACATTTATGAAGACACAATCTATTTTTGGACCCTAGCACGACATTCAATATACTGTTTCCCAAATTTGGAAATCCTAAAGAGCCAGAAAGGCATTTATTAAAAATATTGATTCCCAAGTCCTATCTTAGATCTAATGAAACAGAACTTCTAGGGGAAAGAACACAGGAATCAGTATTTTGGTGTTCAGGTGATTCCTATGAGCATGCAAATTAAGTTTATATTCCCAACATGTATCAAACTGTCTTCTAGTGATCTAAAAGCTAAGAGCATTATCTAAAATGTAACTTACTGTGAAAGGCAACTAATGTACTTGGAAGAATTTTGTATAAGCATTTTATTACTTCAATTTATTACAATTACTTCAATCAGGCAGTAATTTAACACAAAATCCCAAAATAAAAATCTCCTTCTTGGTCTGATTTTACCTGGGAGCTGTGTTATCTATCTAGCTGAGTCATTCTTTTGATCAATACTAAAACCTTTCTACTTTATTATCATTTTAAGCCTTTCATTTTAAAAATGAAGGCAGAGAAATTCTCTCTTAAGGACTTACATTGCCATATGTGCGCTCCAACCGAGGGTGAAGGGTGGTTTTGTATTTTCAGTGCAATGAGATGACAGGGTCAGGTATCTTGGAATGATGACTTGCTGTCCAATCTTGTTGTTAAGTGAGAGAGTGATATTGAAGCTATATCGCTTCAAATGAAGAATGAGGATCCTGAAAACAGGAGATGATGGCATTACTAGTTTGTACATAATAAAGGTAGCTCTCTTATATGTGAGAAGAGGTCGCAGCAACTAACCATGTCAAATAGTTCTGATTTAAAGAACACATTTGACTAAACTAAAGATTTGGCCAAAGAACATTTACTGAATACCTGCCATGTGCTAGGCATTGTGCTAGGTACTAAGAATACGAATAAAAATAAAACACTGACATTGGGTGGATTTAGGTAACTTATAACGTTCCTAGTAAAACAAGATATACCAAAAGAATCCCACATCAGAAAAGAACACTAAATTTTTAAATGCTAATACTGATAATTGGGTTAAATTCTTAAGTTATTTACTTCAATGTTACATAGTTTTAAAAAAATAAGCATTATATAACCACTGATAATTTTAAAGTGTTAAAACAGCCCTATGTTTTATGGTAAACACTGATTTTCTTCAATATGATTTATGACAAGAATTATTCTTATTTCAGTAGTACTTTCTCTGAAAAAAAGCTAAGAGAAATAGAAAAATTTTCTCTACTTAAAAGTTCTACAAAATTTCACGGCACATCTGGTTTGTGGGTCTGAAAAGGCTTTTAGATCTGTAAAATCACCTCTTTTTAGTTACTATTGTGGCAACCTTTCACCTCTGATACAGAACATACTCTTTGTTGGACTAGATATACTTCACAGTGCACAAGAACACTTGAACTGGATTTCAGAACTCTAATGGGAATAAACCTCAATTCTAGGCAAAAATAATGTCTGATTTACAGAAAACTGTTTCGTTTCTTACCATATACATATAACTTCATCACAGAAGCCACAAACTCAAAAATCTACAAATTAAAGTTATCAACTGTATTTTTCTTTAAAATCACAACTTGAAAAAATACAAGGATACAACTGATATGAAGAGGTTAAAAGTGATAACAGATGTCAAATATTCTAAGTTTTCAAATAATCATACCAAAATAAAAGGTTATATGAAAGAAACAGGTGATATAGTTAAAATCACTGATTTAAAAAGATGAGGTGGACTAGAAATGAACAGATTTTATCAAGGTATCAGACCCTTCAAGAATAATAGACTGGCTTTAATAGTAAAATGAACAAAAACAAAGCAAGTCCAATATTAGGGTTTATGATGCAAAGGCTTCTATTTTATGTAAGTTTGGAATAAATTAACCTTTAATATATGTGACCTACCAGACAAAAACCAAGGAGGAAAATTCCCCTCCATATTTATTTTTTTTTCCACTTGAAAGACCAAATAGCTAGACAACTGGGAAGGGAACAGACATTCAGCTTGCCAGGTCAAACAAGCATTTTTAACTGTACACCAGTTTCCTTCGTTAATGACAGCTGGTAATAATCTTTTGCTTTAATATTTGTTCCCCCACCCTCCTGCTTCAAAACACTCACAAATAGCAAAGAACAAGTCTCTTAAAAGTAAGAAATATAGACTATGGTCAACATAATAGTGTTATGATTTAGCAAGTCATTTCTTTTTAAAAAAGTTCATTTTCTAGAAAGAAGCAGATTATAGATTATAAAAGAACTGGTCTCTAGGGGCTAGGTTCCAGAAACTACACACTTAAGTCTTAGAAAAACGGAAGCTAATAAAAGAAAGTAAAGCACTCTCCAGGCAAAGTGCCATATAAATACTTAATGTTAATAACAACTTTGTTTGTGGTTGAGATTTATTCTTGGAAAGAACTAAAAGCTGTCCTATAATTCACATAATTTTTTCTAACTACTTTGGTTTTACATTTGTTTATAGAAAATTAGTATCATTCCTAATTCAGAATTAGTATCATTCCTAATTCAGAATTCTTATTACAGAAAACTTACTTTGTAAGATCCTCTGAATAAGTTGTAAGAAAACTTACAACTTATAAGATCCTCTGAATAAAGGCATACAAATTGCAGAAAATTACTCTTCCTATTTTATTTTCACGCACACATATATGTGTCTGTAGAGACTTTTACTAAAAGTTTGGGCAAGAGAGGGAGGGTCTACAGCACAACACAGGACAAAGAATTATAACTGAATGTTATACATTACTGAATTAAATAACTACTAGCGATTCCCTATCATTATTCCAGAGTCTCACGAGACAAGTCCTCTTGTTGCCATCACTTGGGACTCGGAAGTTCCTTCAACATTCCAATCCTCCTGTCTTCTGCATTCTAGCTTTCGATCCTCTACCATCTTCATACCTCAGCTCTGCTGATCTCCTTTACCAATCCATTCTGGTAAACCTCACTTATTCAGTAATATTTGTAAGTACTTTAAAGAAGAAAAATGAAAGAGCAATTAATTTTACCTGGGTAGCCTGTTAAATTTGTGTCTGACAAGAGCACACTTCCCACTACACTTCTCACAGGAATACTCAAGTTCTTCTGCCTGTAAAAAGACAAGAGCAAAAAATAAAGAAACATGAAGTTGAATTAACATTATCCCATTAAATGCTACTAATCTTCTCTGGTCATACTATTTCAGTGGAATGACAACTCCGACCAGTTTAATTGTGTCTAGAGTCACAAACCTTACTAAATTAAGACCTAATCCTCAAATATAGTATTAATATCATGCCCTATTTCAGAATTCCTTTTTTTTTTCTTTTACAAAGGAAACATCTCAATTTATGACAGTAACTAGATTCTACAGTAGCAGATTCTCAACCTTTTCCCCACGAATACATATATAAGAACCACTGCCAAGAGTATATCTAGACTTAACATTTGGCCATAGCAGAGATAAGATCACCTTCAGGTTAGGCGGAGTTCCTGGTCTGTTAGGTGTAACTCTACCCCTTTCTTATAATGGAACTCAATCTTCTGGTAACAGCCCACTAAGAACAACTGCTCTAAAAGGACCAAAGTTTGGGGTAGATATCATTACCTAGAGAAAACTGAAACAAGAAATCCTTAAAAAATGGGGGTAAAGGTACACAAGAAAAGCTTCAAATTCTACGATAGTAATAGGAATAGTAAGGAATGATTAAAACAAAAAGAAAAGCAGAGTATTTATCTTTGGGTGGAGCTAAACGTTCATCATTTAAAGAACAGAAGTTTTTTTAACCTTAGGAAGACAATTCTGCCCATTTGCTACAACAAAACAAGAATCACTATTATAAATACAAAGGGTGATCCTGGCAAATTTTCATCAGTTATAAAGACTGCTACACAACAGGTCCAATTATGCCCCAGATCATCTGTAACAGTGTATGACAGACACAAATATTTCTTTACAGCTTTGGAAAAACATGACTCTTCTGTGTTGTTTCTAATAGGGTACATACAACCTAACGAAAGCAAACAGTATGTTTTATTCCTCAGATCTTAGTATACTCACTTATAGAGTCTCCGATTTTAATCCACAGTACCAAATTTTAGCATGTGTCACTTTCTATGCTTCAAATTAATAGTTGTTTACAAATAACTGCTTCTAAGGTTGTTTAAAACACTTGCTGTTGAGTCAAATGTATAATCTACTTAAGCAATCAATTTTCTTCTTCAATGAGTTAACAATTAGATTTACCAAGCTTTTAAAAATATCATTTATAAATATTTCTCATATTGCAAGTACTTTTGTCCAAACTCTGCCTTAAAGAAACGAACTTCAAGTATAATTATCTGTGATATATAAAATTTAGTTATGTAAAAATACCAAAAGATATTACTTACCCTAAAGAAAAGATCAAGAGAATCTTGAATTGAACGTGGAGGAAGTGGCTTTTTCCTTCGAGGAAGGTCGATGGAGAGGTCATTAAACTGTTCTCTTTTGGGAATAATCTCTCCACATCTGTAAGAATAAAAGACGACAAATGTAAGCATGCAGAAGCCTAACTGCAATACAAAATAAATACAAATATACTTCAGAAACACTGTTCCTACACAGAACTTGTCAAGTATGGACAGACTATGACTAAGCATAAGAAATGTACAACATTTAAGACATGCTTATTTTAACACTTATTAAATCAACACAGGTAAAACCTCACTTGCAAGTATTTAAATACTTTCTTGAAGTGTAAAAAGGCCCTGAGGTGCCAGGATCCTGGCATTTTTTTAAAAAAAGGCAAGAAGCTAGTTTGGTTAGAACAAAATGAGCATGGAGAAGAGTGGTAGGAGATGAAGCTAGAGTTAACTGGGAGAGAGGGACTGTTCAAAGGCAGATCATAGGAAGTTTTATAGATCATAGTAAGGATTCAGCTTTTATTTGAAGGGCTATAAGCAGAGCACTGACATGAACTAATTCCCATTTAAAATGGATCACTTTGACTAATGTGTTTAAAATAGACTACAGAGAGACAAAGACAGAAACACAGACCAGTTTAAAACGAACCGCAACAATCCAGGCAAGAGATGACAGTAGCTTAGTCCAAAGTAGTGGCAGTGGAGGTGGTAAAAGGGCTCAGATTCTGGATGTATTGTGAAGAGCTGAAAGGATTTGCTGACAATTAGATGTAAGGGTACAAGAGAAAAAAAAAGAGTTAAGAAATACACCACATTTCTGGAACTGTCATTACTGCGATAAGGAAGAGTGCAGAAGGAGGTTTTTTTGTTTTGTTTTTAAAAAAACATGTCTTTATTGATTTCAGAGAGAGGAAAGGAGAGGGAGAGAGATAGAAACATCAATGATGAGAGAATCACTGACCGGCTGCCTCCTGCACACCCCATAATGGGAATGGAACCGGCAACCCAGGCATATGCCCTGACCAGGAATCAAACCACAATCTCCTGGATCATAGGTCGACGCTCAACCCCTGAGCTATGCTGGCCAGGCAGAAGGAGGTATTATGGGGATTATTAAGTACTTAATTTTAGATATTTTAAGTTCTTCAAATGAAGAATTCGTGATTCTTCATATCTGAGAATATATCAGTATATTGAGATGCCATGTAATAACTGAAAACCAATCAATTTAAACTATAATAGTTTTAAAAAATAGGTACATTTGGTAAACTGGCTAAACTAACTTACAGTCAGAAGGGACAGAAGGAGGCTAAATATGGAAAATTACAATATGAGGAATAAGGTGTATGGAGTCTTTCTTCAGCCAGAAACCACTTTGTGGTTAAAGAACTCTTAAAGAAAATTACTAATAAGGCAACTAAGGCAAGGCCTTCGAGGAGATAGTTGTACCACTGCAGCTGTGGCCCTATAGAACCTTTTTGTCTACAGACTTGCCAAACTCCTGGGGCACTGTTCAACTTGACTGCCTGGTGTGCCTACATCTTGTGAACCATGTTACTTCATGCACTGGTGCTCACACCTCAACTGCACACCTGACATTTGGGTGTTGCACAATTGGAGTGATTGAATGATGCTGTTTGCAGTGTAGCAGCCACCTTTTTGATATGGTCTTCTTTCTTCCTGTGGCCATTTCTATCAGAGGCAATGGAAATTTTCCTATCAAAAGAAATATGGTTACCCTGGCTGGTGTGGCTCAGTTGGTTGAATGTTGTCCCGTGCACTGAAAGGTCACTGGTTCAATTCCCGGTCAGGGCATATATGGGAGGCAACTGGTGGGTGGACGTTCTTCTCTCTTTCTCTCCCTTCCTCCCTCTAAAATCAATAAAAAAAGTATCCTCAGGTGAGGATAAAAAAAAAAGAAAGTGCACTGGAAGAAAGGGCAGGATGGCTGTCTATCATATTATTAATTGCTGATGGGCTCTCTAGCTTTTACAACATGAGCTGTATTAGTAAGACCTGGACGTTTTCTTTAAAAAAATAATTTATCCACTGGAGGCAAAAGGCTGAAGAAACCATCAAGGTAAGAAATGTCACAGACTAGTGATGCAAAACTACTGTCTTTATAGTGTCCACATTCCACATGGCTGTTTAAAATTCTAGTAAAAAATACTAGAATGTTCAAGCTGAAAGAGACCTCAGTGAACACTAACATTTTGAGCAACCTAAGAAAAACAGACAAATATGGAAGCCAGAGAATGGAGAGCCAATATATAGGTGTTGAGTATTTCTAAAAAAAAAAAAATTCCAGAACAAGCGGAAGAAAAGCACTATTTAGAGAAGAGTTCCCCTGAACTGAAGAAAACCCCAAATCTTCAGATGAAAAAGCTCCATCGTGTTAAAAGCAAAATTAACATCAAGTGTCTATACTTAGATGTAAACTAGTGAAACTGTGAATTCCCAACAAATAAGAAAGATTGTCAGGAAGAAAAAGATTACTCAGAAAATCAGGTTTCTCCTAAGTGACAGAGAGTAACAAGATACAATGAAACAGTATACATAATATGTTGAGGGGTAAGGCTTTATGTGACTGAATAATTCTGTGTTAAGTCATGTATGAAAGCCACAGAACTAATTCTCACTTATATAGACGCTGTAAAGAATTCCACAATCTTTGAAAAATTGTATTCAGAGATGTACTATCAATAACTGGAAGATTAATCAAAACAGAACCTCTTGATCTGATATACTGAGCATGGAAATTAAATATAGAAATGTGAATAACTAATATAAGCACGGTTAAAAAGCATTGCAAAAGTTAGAAATAATTTAAATTTTGATCTATTTTGTAAAAATCCATTTTTAATTTTTTTTTTAAAAATATACCTTTATTGACTTCAGAGAGAGGAAAGGAGAGGGGGAGAGAGAGAGACAGAAATATCAATGATGAGAGTGTCACTGATCGAGCCCACAACCTGGGCATGTGCCCTGACCGGAGATCAAACCTTGATCACCTGGATCCTAGGTCGACACTCAACTGCTGAGCCGCGCCCAGCTGGGCAAAACCCATTTTTAATCAAAACAGTTTGGTTCAACAAAATAAGCAACTAATAAGGAGTCTTTTCAAGGTAAAAAGAACAAGTATTCCCAAAGAACTCGATGTTCCACAGTGACTAACACACACACGTAGATCAAAATTAACTGCTACCACTAAGGCACATGACAAAGCATTAAGTATTCCTTAGTTCTCATCCCACCAGGTATTTTTACAGAACATAACACACAAAAAAGATGTTTATTTTTATGTTTTCCCATGACATAGAAAGGAAGGTAAGATAAGAATTAAAACCTTCAGAAGAGTTTCAATCACTTGCTGTAAAGAATTAAAAGGAGCCCGGCTGGGCGTGGCTCAGTGGTTGAGCGTCGACTTAGGATCCAGGCGATTGGGGTTCAATTCCCGGCCAGGGCACATGCCCGGGTTGCGGGCTCCATCCCCAGTGGGGGTGTGCAGGAGGCAGCCGATCAAGGACACTCTCATCATTGATGTTTCCATCTCTCTCTCCCTCTCCTTTCCGCTCTCTGAAATCAATAAAGATATAAAAAAAAAAAAAAAAAATTAAAAGGAAAAAGAGGTTTCTTGGGGACTACTTACGCTTTACAGATAATGGAGTGCTGAACCTCAAACTCCAAATTAGTAATAACAGGGCAAGTGTATACTCTAGTGGCTGAAATATCTGGTAAATTTTCTTCTCCAGGAACAGATTCAGTCTTCCAAGTTTTATTTAATTTTTCCATATCCTCTTTCAGCTGGTCTAAGCACTGACTTAGAAATTCATGAGCATCCTAAGAAGGCATAACATCTTTAATCAGACCAAAATATATTTTGTCACAATAATAGCTATCAATATTGTGATTTATAAAACTAAGCACTTGGAAGTCAATAACATTATATTAAAAAGATCGCATTTACTCTAATGATTTACTTTACATATTTTGTGAATAAAAACAAATGATGAGTTTTATATTCTTTACTATCAGTGAGATTAGCATGAATAATTGAATCACTTCTTACTTTGTTTTTTTAAAAAATTAAAAAAAAAAGCCTTTGTAGCTAAAATAGTCCAAGTTCCTGTACTGACAGACCACATCTGTATTAAAATATGATAAATTACACAGAAGAGTCACAATGAACCTTACCAGAAACCCTCAGGTTTTTCAACCTGTGATGGACACAACATATGTATACAAATCTAACTTTAAAATAAAAAGCAGGTAACACACGAAGGTCATTTCAATTTCCCCTATCTCCAAAGTGGTTAAAAACAATTGGTACTTACATTCTGCATATAACCAGAGAATCTCTCTGCTGTAGCAGAAATGGCATTTTTAACCTTCTTGAGTAAATCCTTTTTAGTCTCTGAATTGCAGATATCTTTTTTAACAAGCAAGTGTGCAAAGCGTCTGGCAAAACAAAGAGACCAGTTTAGCATGTTTTACAAAACACTGAATTAGGTATGGTATTTTAAAGACTATTAACATGGCACATAAAATTTTAAGCGTCTAAAAAACTCCATTATTCTGCCCTAGCTGGTTTGGCTCAGTGGTTACTGAAGGGTCCCGGGTTCGATTCCTGCCAAGGGCACATACCTTGGTTGCAGGCTCAATCCCGGCCCCAGTGGGGTGCATTCGAGAGGCAATCAATTGATCTCTGTCTGTCTCTCTGTCTGTCTCTCCCCCCCCCCTTCCACTCTCTCTCTGAAAAGCAATGGAAAAAAATATCCTCCAGTGAGGATTTAAAAAAAACAAAGCAAAAACCAAAAAAACCCACTCCATTGTTCTATAATCAATAAGGTAAAAGGTTATTCAGTAAGTACATAACAATTACCTGATAAGTGCATTGTGTGGAATTTTCTTCCATGGAATACCTTGCTTAAGCAAGTCATTTGCAAATGACTGGAGTGAAAATAGGGATTGTAAAATAGCATTCATATAGCAGGTATTTCCCAAGTTGGAGAAGCTGAAAATGAAAGAAATAATACTTTTGAAGACAATGGTAGTTCCTGAAGTATGTTCATTAGAGCAGGGGTTCTCCAGTAGATCATGCATCAGAATCACCTAGAGAGCTTATTAAAATACGTCAGGGGCCCAAGTCCAGAGTTTCTGATTCTGGATAAAGAACGTGTAAGAATGCATTTCTAGCAGGATGCCAGTTTATGGTGATGCTGCTGATCTGCGGACCACACTATGAGAACCACTGAATTATAACATTATAACAACTTACTTTCATATCAAGGAAAATTATACACTTTCAAATGAACACTAAAAAGGACTAGGGACTTTACCCAAATTGCTATTTGTTCTTAGTAAAACCACTAAGTCATAGATACAGGGTAGGGCAAAAGTAGGTTTATAGTTGTGAGTACAGAAAAGTTTATCCTTGTGTTATTATTTATTAATCATTGTATTATTTTCCATATGAAATGTAAACCTACTTTTGTCCCACTCTGTGTAAGTTGGTTTAGCTTTAATGGGTACTACCAAACACTTTTCCAAAGTACCTATTTTTAAAAGACTTTTATTCAGAAATATTCTCAAACCAGGAAAGCTGTACAAGAATATTCTTTATCCAGATTCACCAATTGGTAACCTTTTGCACTATATGCTCCATCATTTCATACCTATTTTTTCCCCCCGAACCATTTGAAAGTTGCAGAAATCATACCACTTTAGCTCTAAATACTTCAGGGTGCATTTCCTAAGAACAAAAACATTTTCTTACATAACCAGAGTACAGTTACCAGCATTATAAAATTTAATGCTAATAAAATATTCTTATCTAATATACTTGCTTTAATCCAGTTTTGTAACTTGACCCAGTAAGATTCTTTATAGCATTTCTTTCTCCCTAAGTACAAGATTCAGTCCAGGATAACATAGTGCATTTAGTTTTCATTTCTCTTTAGTATTCTTTAATCTGGAATAATTCTTCAGCTTTCTTTTTCATGACATTGACATTTGTGAAGAATATAGACCCCCATCCCTGGTATTTAATGAAATGTTCCTCATATTGGGTTTTCTATTTCTTCATGAAGAGATTTAGCCCAGGCTGGAAGAGCACATAGTAATGCATAGTGATACTGTGTCCTCCCAAGAACATCACATCCAGAGGCACATGGTATTTCTGTGCTGCTCACTGATGATGTCAACTTTGAACATCCTTGAGAACTTCCACTTCACACTATGAGAAAGTATCAGGGTATGGAATTATCCTACTGCCATAAACAATGAAAAAAAATGGACAAAATATTGGACAATGGGAAGTCCAGGACTGTAATCCTTAAGAGAAGGGAAACAAACAGTGTGAGCTGTACTATTATGCAGGATTTCAGCCTGGAGGCAATTTGTCAACTGCAGTCTAGGCAAAGGTACCCAAACAAAACTCAGAAATCTTACTAAGTTAAGATGTTAGAAAATGGGAGTGAGAGGATGAGATTGCTGAAATTTCTGGACTCAAGCGAAGGGAGCTGTGCAAAGGAAGAGCTCCAGATATCTGCATAGAAGTCTGCTTGAGCATTCAGCTGAATACCAACCTGTGCACGTTTAGGGTGAAACCTCATGACACCAAGCAGGAAGCACTTCAAAGAAAAGAATAATTACTCGGGAACTATAGCTAAATAATACTCAGAGCTCATGCAGGACCTAAAATTGTTTGAGTTCCCACTAGTCAGAGCAGAGAGACAAAGACCTAGATGAATTCATGGGGTATTAATAGAGACCCAAGAGGGGTCATGCTTTAGGGAAGGAACTAAATTAGCCTTGAAGTAAAGGTCATTCTGGATTTGACCCCAAAGAACTTAATCACAAGTCTTAAAACAATCAAACCCAATCGCAGACAAGGATATTAAAAGTCATTATAAATATGCTTCATGTGATCAAGGATGTGAAGGAAAACATAAACATAACGAGGAAAGAAATGGAAGACATTAAAAAGCCCCAAATTAAACATCTAGAGACGAAAAACAAAATATTTGAAATGGAAATTTTACTGTATGAGATTAATAGCATATTAAACACCAAAGAAGGAAATATCAGTGAACTTGAAAACTTAGCAACATATCAAAAATGAAGTATCTATATACTTTAATATGTAAAACTTATATATTTTCTATGATAATTTAAAATAAAATACATGTGTATACTTTGTAAAATATTAAATATATAATTGTATTTTATATAATATATAATCTTTTATGTCCTTACACAGTCTACTTTATTAAGCATCAGGACTGCAACCCCTATTTTATTTTTAATATATCTTTACTGATTTTACCGAAAGGGGAGAGAGAGAGAGAAACATCAATGATGAGAGAGTCCTCAATGATAAGCTGCCTCCTGCACACCTCCGACTGGGAATCGAGCCCGCAACCCCACATGTACCCTGACCGGGAATCAAACCTCGACCTCCTGGATCCTAGGTGGATGCTCAACTGCTGAGCCACGCCCAGCTGGGCGGCAACCCCTATTTTAAAACTTTTAAAACACTGTTCTAGGGTTATCTCTAGTATACAGCACACAGTTGAGTTTTGCTTTATAAGCCAATTTGAAAATATTTTTATTAAATGAGTTAGCCCATTCACATTTCTTGATATTACTGATATTTTTGGATTCAACTGTCATTTTATGTTACACTTTTACTTACCTATCTGGTGTGTTTTAGAAATATTTCTTTTTGTTCTAAGAACTATTTGTACTTTTTTGTTTTAGTGGTTATATCTGTATTTATACTTTATTATAGTGCCCTTAACCCTCATTTCTTAAGCCTAGTCTGTCCATTTTATATGGCATCCTTTGACTCACACCGACACAATATACTATTCTATGTTTTCACTATTGCCTCTCTCCTTCCATTTCATTTTAGTTAAAATTATACTCCTTTGTCAGAAGATTTAATCCTTCTATATGTGTTCCCACTACTGTTTGAGTCTTAGCTCTCCAGCTGAATATATGGAATGCTCAGTATTTATCTTTTGTCAAGGTTTCCCTCATCATCTCTTGGTTATACTCTTTAGAGTCCTCAGGAAGAGCCTTCTTATATAGTATTATGAGTTCTTCCACTTCAAAACTTATTTTCTTCAGCTTGCATACTTGAAAGCTTGGGTTGGCATAAAATCTATGTTCATTCTTTCTTTCACTAAGCTGCTTGAAAATGCTTTGAATGATGACTTTGAGAAGTTTGGTGTTTACTTTTCTTGCCCTCATCTTTAAAGTCTAATTGTTGTACTAAGACATTACCTTTTTTTTTTTTTAAATATATCTTTATTGATTTCAGAGAGGAAAGGAGAGGGAGAGAGAGACAGACAGAAACATCAATGATGAGAGAGTCATTGATAGAGCCCACAACCCGGGCATGTGCCTCGACTGGGAATCGAACCATGATCGCCTGGATCCTAGGTCGATGCTCAACCACTGAGCAACGCCAGGCCGGGGGCCCTAAGACATCATCTTGATCATTCAATTTTCTAGGTACCTGGAAAGCTTTTTCAATTCATAGACTCAGTAATTTTATTTCTGGAATTTTTCTTGGGTTATAGTTTTAAATACTAGTTCTATTTCACTGTTTTGAGTTTTTTGTTCTTTTGTTAATACTCACCCAAGGATATCTTTTCCATTGATTTTTAGAGACAGTAGG